TGATTCATTTGAATGCCTAACAACCCGAATCGGACGATTACACTTGAATAAATGTGGCTCACTACCGGCAGTTTCTATCTTTGTTGTCTACGCACCAACATCCAGTTATGGTGAAAAAGAAACTGAGAAATTCTACATGGAGCTGGAGAAATTCTATAAAGAAGATCACACCTTCTACAAGATCATTGTCGGTGATTTTAATGCCAAGATAGGACCAAGAAGATCAGTCGATGAACTCCACATCGGAACCCATGGCCTGGAATGGAACGAACAAGGTGACAGACTGTCTGAGTTCATCATGTCAACCAAAACCTTCCATGGTAACTCACAATTCCAAAAGGCTGAATCTAAACGTTGGACATGGGAGTCTCCCGATGGACGGTTCCACAATGAAATAGACCACATCATATTCAATCGGCGGTTTTGCCTAACCGATGTTGCTGTTGTCCCAAAATTCCAAACGGGATCAGACCACCGTCTTCTTCGTGCAAAATTCTACCTCACAGAACGAGGAGAAAAGAATGCAAGGTTTAAGAAGAAGACTCCCAGAACAACCACCAACTGGGAACTCTTTGGCTCTATTGCAGCAACATGGGAAGATGCCGTCATTGACAACATTGATGAGGAATATGATCGAATGATTCAGCACCTCCATGATTGTGCAAGGAATGCCAAGAGAGAGATAACCACAAAAAACCGTCTTTCTTCGAACACTCTTGAACTTATTCGCCAACGTGGCGTGGCACGTGCCTCAGGCAACCACAAGCAAACGTCCGAACTGGCAAAACAGTGCAGAAAAGCCATCAAGGATGACCTCAAAAACAGGAGAGCAGCAGTACTGGTAGATGCAGCAGAAGCTGGGAAAAACATTCGTAATGCCCGCCTGTCCTTCACCAACTACAAAACCAAGATGACTGCCCTCCGACATCATGATGGATCTATCACATCTTCCAGAAGGGCAATGGAGAAGATTATTCATGACTTCTACTCAGATCTCTTTAATAGCCACATCCACTTGCCCACATACCACATACCACATGATGGATATGTCGTTCCCAATGTTCTCCCTTCCGAAATCCAACATGCCATCTCGTCGGTAAAGAAACAAAAAGCACCTGGCCCAGACAAGATCAGACCTGAACACCTGAAGAACTTACCATCAGTACTCATCAATACATTAGCTCGACTCTTCACACGCTACCTGTCTGAATGCAAGGGTCCATCCCAATGGAAAACCAGCAAGACTGTACTACTATACAAGAAAGGAGACATCCACGACATTGGCAACTATCGCCCAATCTGCCTATTGTCTGTCATCTACAAACTATTCACTCGAGTCATCCTGAATAGGATTAGCAGAACACTAGATGAAGGACAACCATGTGAACAAGCTGGATTCCGAAAAGGATTCAGTACCATCGACCATATCCACACAATAACCAAGCTCATTGAGGTATCTCGGGAGTTCAAGATGCCGCTCTGTCTAACGTTCATTGATTTAAAGAAGGCCTTTGATTCTGTTGAGACGGAAGCGGTCATGGAAGCCCTAGCCAATCAGGGCGTACAAACTCAATACATCAGGATCCTTCGTGAGCTCTATTGCGGATTCACTACCAAGATCTCACCATTCTACAAAGAAGTAATCATCCATATCAAGAGAGGGGTTCGGCAGGGTGATACCATTTCACCAAAACTCTTCAGTGCCACCCTCGAGAACATCATGCAACGACTAGAATGGGAAAACATGGGAGTGAAGATAGATGGTCGGCAACTACACCACCTCCGCTTTGCTGATGACATCGTTTTAATAACACCAAACATCAGCCAAGCGGCACAAATGCTTGCGGACTTTGACCGTGAGTGTGGAAAGGTTGGACTACAGCTGAATCTTACGAAGACAATGTTTATGAGAAACAGCCTTGTTCCTGACGCTCCATTCACTTTCAACGGAACCACCATCTCCGAATGCAACAGTTATATATACTTAGGTCGAGAAATCAACATGATGAATGACCTGGCACCTGAGTTACGCAGGAGGAAGAGAGCGGCTTGGAATGCCTTCAAGAGCATTGAAGAAATAACTAAAAGGACAAAGAACCTCCAACTACAAGCACATCTCTTTGATTCCACTATTCTTCCTGCATTAACATATGCCTCAGAGACCTGGACCCTACGAAAACAGGATGAAAACACTATTCGGGTCTCTCAAAGAGGAATCGAAAGAACTATGCTTGGAATATCACGATTCACTCAAATGAGAGATAGAATCCGGAGTTCTGATCTTCGTCAACGCTCAAGAATCAGAGACGCTGTCTCATTTGCCAAGACATCAAAAATCAGATGGGCTGGACATGTAATGAGGTTTACAGACAACCGCTGGACTAGAGCCATTACTGATTGGATTCCACGAGACATCAAAAGATCACGTGGACGCCTACCTATAAGATGGTCAGACTTCTTCGTCAAGACCCTAAATGATCGGTTTGAGGCTCTACATGTTCCTAAAACGAACAGATACCATTGGGCTACGCTAGCACGCAACCGGGATGAATGGAGACGTTACTGGCACCCGCTCGAATAAATCGATGAATAACGGGGATTAAGTGATTAAGTGATTATTAAATTCTAAAGTAATAAAGTCACTTACATATTTTAAATAATAGTCCATCATATATCAGTACACTTTTAATGTAAAATATTTTAGTTTTTCAAAACTCAACACTTGGATGAGAAGAGTGACTGTATATTTTTTATTTTTATCAAATCTCTGTAATATATAGCCTAAGAGAAGACATTTAGAATTTGCTTCTGTAGTGTCCTCTAATACATCATATCTCTGGTGAATTCAAGAGAACTCCAGTGAGTACTCATGAGACCATGAAAAAAAAAGTAAGCAAGTGATATTTTAATATTTAACAACTAATAATTTGGCTGGAAATTAAGTAGTATAATGGATAAGTCTCCTGCCTTGCAAAAAATTGACCCAGGTTTGATCCCTAGAATCCCGTATAGCCCTGTCAGGAGTGATTCCTTAGCACAGAGCCAGGATTACACACTGGAGCAAAGCCAGAGCTATCCCCCAAGCCCCAATTAATAAATAGATGGACAATATGACTCCTGGCCTCCAGAAATATTTCAGGAATGTCCTAAGAACCATGTTTAGATGAAATCTATAAAACAACCGAGAAGTTCCATCACCAACTTTAGCTTATTCCAGTGCCCAAACTTGTCATTCATTTGGTAATCTGCTCATACAGAAACTTTACCTTGAACTTCTCCAGAGAACATTAGAAAAACTTGTCATCGCTAGGTAATAATGAACATTGTGTGGGAAAAGATTTAAAGGTAATAATACCACCAGGCTCAAACAAATGTTATAGAAAAATGTGTCAGAATTATATTTGGAGAACTCAATATTCAGACAGAAATTACATATTTTATTTTATAGAACAAAAGAAGACATTCCTTCACTGCACAAGTGAAATGTAATTGAAGTGTCATTCTATTTTTGTGACATTAACAGAACTGATTAAATCTGGTATATTGCTCAAGTAAAGGGAGTTGTCAAATATTAGCAGACATGTTAATAAAGTAAAGGGCACCAGGAAAGCTTAGAATTCTTATATAGGATAAGAAAAAAAATCTAACACAATATTTGGACAGAGCTAAGACAGATTAGAAGTTAAATCATTTAGTTATTTATAAGATTGAATCTTCAAAGTGCTTTGTCTCAACAAGAGGATTTTAATTTTTATTATTATTTTTTATTATTATTGAATCTCCATTGGCTACACTTACAAAGTTTTCATGTTTGTGAGTTTCAGTCATACAATGATCAAACACCCATCCTTCCACCAGTGTACATTTTTCATCACCAATGTCCCAGTATCCCTCCCCCTACGCTGCCTTTATGGTAGACAATTTCCCTCTACTCTCTATCTAGTTATGGGCATTATGGTTTGCAATACAAATAATGAGAGGCCATCTGGTTTGGTCCTTTATCTCATTTCAGCACACATCTCCCATCCTGAGCAATCTCTCCAACCATCATTGACTTAGTGATCCCTTCTCTATTCCATCTACCTTCTCCCCCAGCTCATAAGGAAGAGAATTTTTCTTGCTTCCTTTAAAATCCAAGCCCAGAAACAAGGCTCTTGTAAATCATATTTTGTTTTATTAATGCAAGTATTCATATTTGTTTGGCCTTGTTAGACTTCTGCCACATGGAAAATATTTGTTGTGATATTATTCCTAGGAGTTTTAAATTTAAACATAGTATCCTGGGTGTTCTAGAAGACTTGAATCCTGTTTGAAAGATGCATGAGCAAAAATAAAGAACTGAATAGTAATAATTTATGTAATAATATTGCATCAATAGAAGATAGAGTATTCGATATGCCAAACACAGTAACAACAAAGTCTCCAATGGAGACGTTACTGGGCCCACTCGAGCAAAATTTTTTTTAAAAAATCAAAAATATGTCATGAAAAAGAACATTAATGCTATCGTGAAGGTTTTAACTCAATTTAACACAACCTCAAACCAGCAATTGGCAATTTGTAAATAATTCAAAATGTGCAGATGGGCCCAGAATGATCATATTCTGGCACTTGTCTTGCATGGAGTCGTTGACCTGAATCTGACCCCTGGCACGACGGAGCTCTAGGAGTGATCCCTGAGCACAAAGCTGAGAATAAACCCTAAGAACCCCCCCAAATCCAAATATAAAAGTCAATGTAAGTTGTGAATACGTTGAAGCTTACAGTTGTGGGTTTCGATGAGAGAAGAAAGATGTGTTAACATCAATTTACTGCTGGAGATTCAATTTCCCCTGGAGTCTTTTACTCATTCTGGAGGTGTTATTCTCCTGCAAATTTTCCCCTACTACCCAGATGCTCTGAGTGAAAAAAGAACACCTACTGCTTCTTCAGAAAAAGGGCTGCTTGCTTCAAGAGCGAACCTTGCCGAACAGCACTGAGGATTTTTTCTGTTCCTTTAGGTTCTGCGCAGTAGTAGCTTGCTGGAGTCCACAGATTACTGGCTGCAAAATCAGAGGACCCCCTGCCAGATTGGCTTTGTAGAAGACAAGTCTGAGAACTGCGCTTCTGTAAGTACAAACAAATCTTGGATAAGATCCGATGAAGCCGGGAATTGAGCATGGGTGCTCATGCCTAGAAAAGGTTTCGTAACTTGCCAAAGAGGTTGGGGAAGTATCCCCATTGAAAATATAGAATTAGTTTTTGGAGTTTATTACATAACTCAGCACCCAGATTATTATAGCATGCAAAGCTCAGGTTTCCATACTACTTCGCTACATTTAACAGGTAAATTAATTTGATACTTCTTTAAAAGGATGCTTGTATTTCCCAAGTTGATTGAGAAAAGCAACTCATAGTTTGTATAATGAGAAATTAAAGTAGCAGTAAGGACCTCTTTCGGATTAACTTCAGGATATTTTTAATTTCTCTTAGTCTGTTCTCATGAAAATTTTGTAAAAATTTTCTCCTATTCTTATGGAGTTATAGTCACAATTTGAAAACTGTTTTGATCTAAGATATATACAAAGTATCTCAGTATGCTGACCCTGAGTCTGAGACTTACATTCAAAACCTTTTCCTCCTCCTAAGGGAAGAGACATTCTTTTATTTTTTTTTCCTTTTTGCATCACACCCGGAGATGCTCAAGATTTACTCCTGCCTTTGCACTCAGGAATTACTCCTGACGGTGCTTGGGGAACCATATGGGATGCTGGGAATTGAACCCAGGTCAGCAGCGTGCAAGGCAAACGCCCTACCCACTGTACTATCGCTCCAGCCCCCAGAAAGAGACATTCTCAAAGATCAAAATAATTCTTATGCTTAGACCATAAGTTCTCATTGTTGATTGGAACTATGTTCTGTCCTATATATTTTACATAGTCCTGTGTTTCATTTTAGTCTCAGTCACCTGCTCTAATGAGGTTATGATTACAGAGATGGTTGGGGATAATTCCGAAAATGAAATTCTCATGACTCAACTCAGAGCATCAGTTCTGAGCTATTCCTGGAGGTAAATTGTATGCCAGCATTTGAAGGAAAGAAATAAAAGAAAGAAAGAAGGAAAGGGAGGGAGGGAGGGAGGGAGGAAGGAAGGAAGGAAGGAAGAAAGGAAGGAAGGAAGGAAGGAAGGAAGGAAGGAAGGAAGGAAGGAAGGAAGGAAGGAAGGAGGGAGGGAGGGAGGGAGGGAAGGGAGGGAGGGAGGGAGGGAGGGAGGGAGGGAGGGAAGGAAGGGAGGAAGGGAGGAAGGGAGGGAGAGAGGGAGGAAGAGAAGGCGGGCGGGCAGGCGAGCATCTTTTTATATACATTGAGCAAAACCAGAGCTGGCGGGGATGTGAAACATTTAAGAGTGCAGAGCCTCGTAACTCATGGAAAGTAATTCCATCTAACAGACTTAATTCAATCTCCTTTTAAAGGCAAATCACTTTGATCACTTTAGGAGCTTTTGATTCTTATCAGGAAAATTAGTTACTAGCTAAAATCCAAAATCCGCTGAGGAAAATGGAAAAGATTAGGTGAAAAATAGTCTAATAGTGATATTTGCAAATTCAAATTCTGAGATGAGTTTGAAAATTCACGCATTTACTGATTAAGATCTATAATTACACTGCTATAAATTGTAACAGGGAGGAAATTGAAGAGGAAAAAGTGTCAGTGGCTACACTCTGGTCAGTGTGATCTAGGAAATTCCTGGATTAAATATTTATTGGAAAAAGTGGGAAAATCAAGGCACCAAAACTATATAAATATATAAATAGTGAAACTCAAAGAATTATTCTATAAACTTTATATTTTTGGAGTCTGGATTATAGATCTATGACTGAAGTTCTAAATTGTTAGTCAAAGTGATTATCTTTGGATCTTCTTAAGGGTTAAGAAAGTTCTTATCCTCTTCTCAACAAAGCAAATGGATTCAAATTTAGACACAAAATCAAATGACTTATTTTCTTGAATCTTTGTCCCTCTATAGTGTCAACTGAGAGCAATGTAGCTGAACTATTCATTCTGCCTTCATATCTCCTGTTTTTTTTCAAGTAGAGAATAAAGTATAAACACAATTAAGAAACATATTGGAAGATTTGTAACCCCACACTCATTGGGGATAATTAAAGTTGACATAAACATTAAAAATTTCCTTGACGCTAAACTTGAAATTTTTGGATCCCAATTCAAAATAGTCCCAATTCCTCAAATAATTCTTTAAGCATGCCCTCGGGATCTTCAAATCCTCTTTCTCTTACTCAGCTGCTAGAGAGAGAGAGAAGAAAACTGTTCAGATTTGGACATTGCTAAAAGAAAATTGTTTGCTAGAGGAAAAAGCGAGGTGAATTGGAGAAATAACTGAACTAAAATAGCTATAACCCCATCCCCTCCCCAAGGTAGTTAACGTGTCCAGGAGAAATTATTCCAATCCATTTCAAATCAGATTCTCCACATCAGCATGAAAATGACAATGTAATTTGAAGGAGAAAAGAAGACTACATTAAAATAACTTCATGAAATCTAATTCAAAAGGGACTTTAACAAAATCATCTGAAACCTCAAACTATGTACAGATTGTCACAACAGAATGTGGAGAATCTGAGACAGTGTTATATTACATTACGCTCTAGAACTTTGAGATACCTCATTTTATGTAAATCATCACCTCTTTAATTCATTCTTTCTTGATCAAATATTGCAATTTCTTTTCATGTGCACCTACATTTTCTGAACTTAAGACATCCAGCTAGAAATTTTATGGGGGACAGTCTCAGGCTCATTAGCCCTCAAAGTGTCGTGAGCATTTTGTGAGCAGGACTTCTTTTTAAATATTAGGTAATGGTTTTCATCATTATCTCAATAGATGAATGCATTCTTCCACAGCTTTAAGAAAATACAGTGAAAATTAGTGTGGGCACAATGTGAAAGAAACACGATACGGAGCCAGATCAAAAGTTTGAAATCACTGGTGGAGGGATGGGTATTTGATCATTGTATAATTGAAACCCAAGCACAAAAATTTGTAAGTCTACAACTGTACCTCATGGTATCTCACTAATAAAAATTTTAAAAAAATAAAAAATAAAAAAGATTTTGCAAACCAAAAAAAAATAAAGTTTGAAGTCACTCTTAAAAGTTTTCAAGAAACACTAAATTTGAAAACAAAACTAAATTTGTCTTTCTAAATAGTCTTCCTGACAAATGATTAAAAAAAATTTTAGATACTCTCTAATTTTGCATTATAAAAATTTTAAAAATCAACTCATATACTGAACTTCAGAATTTCCCTTTCCCCACCGCCATTGGTTTATCCTTGGTTTACAGTATAATGGAACTTTAGAGGTTTTGTTAGACACCATCATCAGTATATCATTTTCACCTCTCCTACCACCTAGGAGCTGATGTTATACCACCACCTAAAATGAAAACTTCTTTACACTGAGTATTAGTTTGGTTGTTCATTTAAAAAGTGACATGTGACATGCCAGAGATACAGTCCAGTAGTTATGAACCTAGCCTACATGCAGTCAACCTGAGTTAGATCTCTAGTACTTCTATGGTCCCCTCTCATCACTGCCAATGTGATATCTGAGCACTCCTGATATTCCCTCAACCTGCACCCCCTTCTCGACACCCCCAGAAAAGTTAAATGTCAAGGAGAGTAATGGAATTTGTAGCCAATCCCCTAACCTATCAGCTGAGACATTATCTTAATGAAGGTCTCTAGCACGAGACCAAAGGAACTAATTGTAAAGCACTCAATTTTTTTAAATCCAAAGTTCATTTAGGTCTTTTAAATCTGATATTGCTCTCTGCTGTATAATGGGATTGGATGATTTAAAACAGGTATTCAGTAACTATGTTTTGGTGTAAGTGCTTTAATAAAATGACCTTGGAAATAGAGTCTGAGCTATCATCCTCCAAAATATTTTGACATGTATTTTATTGGTCAACCTCAATATTGAAAGTGTGTTTTATATGTTCAATGTGTAAATAAATAAATGAAGTCCTTAAGGAATTTTTTTTTTTGCATTTGCTTTTTTTGTCCTTAAGAAATTCTTTTTTTTTTTGCATTTGCTTTTTTTGTCCTTAAGGAATTCTTTTTTTTTTTTTTTGCATTTGATTTTTGAGTCACACCCAGCAATGAACAGGGGTTACTCCTGGCTTTGCACTCAGAAATTATTCTTGGTGGTGCTCAGGGGACCATATTGCGATGCTGGGAATCGAACCCAGGTCAGCAGCGTGCAAGGCAAATGCCCTACCCACTGTACTATCGCTCCAGCCCCCTTAAGGAATTCTTCAGCATGAAATTTGGCAGAACTTAAATAGTTCATGAGTATTCACTGGGTCTCAAATATGGGTTATGGAGATTGCCTTGCATGTGGTCAACCCAGGTTTTATCCCTGACATCCTATATGGCTGGAGCGATAGCACAGCGGTAGGGCATTTGACTTGCACGCAGCCAACATGGCCGACCCGAGTTCGATTCCTCCACCCCTCTCGGAGAGCCCGGCAAGCTACCAAGAGTATCTCACCCACACGGCAGAGCCTGGCAAGCCACCCATGATGTATTTGATATGCCAAACACAGTAACAACAAAATCTCCAATGGAGATGTTACTGGGCCCACTCGAGCAAATCGATGAACAACAGGAAGGGGCCTTTACCTTTTACCTTATCCTATGTGGTTCCCTGAGTTCATTAGGAGTGATCCTTAAGCACAGAGCCAGAGTAAGCCCTGAATACAACCAGGTATGGCCAAAACAAAATAAAAAATAGTTAATTCAAAAAAATTATTCTGCTAAAGATAAATAGAAAATTAAGTAGTCAATAATCTCACAGTTTTGATGTATTTCAGTGAGAAATATTATTTATTGTTCTTTTCTTGATAAGCTTTTAACTAAGGAGAAAATTGTTGTAATAACAGGGATTGTGTGAAATTTGAAACTCCAAAGTTCTTCTGAGCTATTTTAATAATGCACACATCTGTCAAAATTAATTTAAAAAAAAAACAGTTGGACATAGCACAAACACCCAGGTTTTAAAAGTACACTTAGATCTATTCGTCTGACTGTATTTTTAGCAAAAAA